ATATAATTATTTTCAATCTATTGTGTTTACCTTATGAATTATAAATGAATTTTATAATGGTATTWATCTAGTCTGTTACAAACTTACCAGAATTTAAATTCAGGTAGCCTTCGGATGAATGGCCTAAATTCCTCGTCGGCCTTTGTTGGCAAACTTGGACCATCTTCATCATCTTCTAAAACACATATTTATAATCATTAATTAAGATTGATTATTATAACATGCTATTACTACTATCTTATACTAACCAAGCTCTTCAAGTGCTGGGTCTATTCGCGGCGATAAAAATGCAATCAGCAAATTTAAGTGGTAAATACCAAGAGCATATGTTATAATATACCATCCCTGACAAAAAAAAACATGAAAAGATATAAAATTAAACAAAACTAACAACTACAACATGTATTTAAGAAAACTTTGAATACTGAATTCTATAATAATAATTCTAATAATTCCATAGCGCTTTTCAAGACTATAATGCATTGTTGCTATCAAACTCAACATTAGCTGTGTTACAAAATAACATTTCTAAACTTAATTGCTTTCCATTGGCRATCTTGAATGTATTGACCTGATAAAGTCACTCTGAAAGCACGGAAATTGTTTTTGCACAGCRATAAAACTAGTTCATTTTCCATTTGGAATATTCTATCTTGTATCTGTTGTATACATGGGTTCCCTGTGTTTAGGCCGCAAGGCATGTTGGGAAACACATGGTGAGAGATCAGAAAATAAAGAAAGTTCTGTCTCGCARTTCTGTTTCTACTGTGCTTTCCTAGTGTRTTGTTATTGTTATTCAATGATACAAGATACAACAATTTGGCGACGAGGATCAACATTTGATGTTTCCTGAAATTGCTATAAATGACAATAAAATGTACTTGGTGATGTTGTAAAAGTAATAAAATTGTTATAATAAAAATATAACTTTTTACCTGAAGATAAAATACTCTAATGAGATATATTGTCATTAAAATCAAAGTTGCTATCCATCGTGGCGCTAGATGTGGTGTGGTGTCATCTAGAAACTTTTGATATCTCTGGAAAAAGAGTTATACCATGAAAATTACTTGTGAGTATAGAGAATATCACATGGGCTCGCGGAGATACGGATTTTATCTTCGAGTGTTAAAAAGATCTTTCACGAGTGAGCGTAACTAACGGAGAGATTTTCAACACGA